TCACCATGAACTCCAGCTACAGGTTAACTTTGTCGATTTAGCAAATTACTTAACCCTCTGAATGTCAGTTCTTTTATAAAGTAAAGGTGATGGTAGAAAGACTTCTCAAGCTCAGTGCCTTCATCAGGAAGTATTCTGGGTGCTTGTTTTGCTATCTCTCACCATCATCATTGGTCAGGTTCTTCAAAGCCCTAAGAGACCAGAACCCTGACCTGACACAGCTTGCGCATCTACACTTGATGTCACTGCTCCAGCTTCTAAAGGAAGTGCACAGAGACCAAGAACAAACACATTTTCAGGCTTTCTCACCACAAAGCTTTCACCTTTGCCTATGTAGTAAACCTAACTGAGACAGGCTGACCTAGTTAGAGACCAGGTAGCAGAAGCCACACTGATCTTTCAGTCAGATGTGTACCAGCAAAGCTCTCCTATGTCAAGACCGGCTCTAAAAGCTCTTAATGCTGAAAGCAAACTTTGCTGACTCGCCTTTCCTACACGCTCATCTTTCATCTCGTATCGTCTTTCTCTTGTCTTTGAGTCAAAGTCTTACTGTAGGACTGACCTAGAACTTCCAGTGTATCCAAGACTGGCTGCCAACTTGCAGTCTTCCTGCCTCAGCCTCTTGAGTGCTTGGATTACAAGTGTGTGCCCCATAGCCAGAACAAGGTTTTGTAGGGTAAGATATTGATATGAAAGAAAGAGGCTGTTTCCAGGTGTGAACAGAGTGTTATGTTAAGAAGTGATTGGTGCAGTAATCCCTGGTAGTGCCTTAGCTCAAGGTCTAGATGGTACAAACTGGGCAGATTCTGGATATATTTTGAATGAGGAGCTGACAGAATTTGCTGGTGAATATTGTATAACCTGTGAGAGAGAGCATCAGGAAAGGTGACTAGGATTTATGACTTGAGAGATGAGATAGAAGGATGGACTGTCCGCTGTGTTCCATGATGGTGATGCTGGTGAAGAGGGCATGCATCTTTCTCACTAGGTTTACGCTTGAGTGCTTGATGTTTTCTAGTACTATTACAAAAATGTATTTTCTATTTGTTTAATGGCATAGAATTTATTCTTACTGCTTAGTATGCAAAAGCCTTGATAAATTCATTTATGAATTCTAATCATTCTATTGTAATTTTTAAGATATTTATAATAATTGAAGTTTTATTTCTAGTCTTTGCTTTTTTTTTTTCCTTCTTTTTGTTCTTATTTCGTTCCATGGGGTAGGACCTTCATATGATGCTGTACAGAAGTATTGATAGGTCTTTTCATCTCCTATCTATTGCAGGGACATATTTATAGGATTTCACTATCAAATGTTTGCTATAGATTCTTTTGAAATTATTCTTTATCAAGTTAAATAGGTTGTCTGCAGATCTTAGTTTGCTAAAAGTTGTTATGATTGGAAACATGTTAAGAGATGTTGAAAGACTGCATTTAAAATTTTATTTTAATGTGTATGAGTGTTTTGCCTGCATGTATGTAAATGTACCTCTGTGTGCAATGCCTGTGGAGGGCAGAAGAGAGCATTGGATCCCTTGGAACTGGAGCTACAGGTGGTTATGAACCACCATGTGGATGCTGGGAACCAAACCTGGGTCCTCTGCAAGTTGCTCTTAGCCACCAAATCATCTCTCTAGCACCAAAAGGCTGTGTTTTTATTCCAACTTGAGAGTTCTCAGCTCTCTCAGGTCCCAAGTTCCCCACCCTTATGTAAATTATCTGAAAAAATTCTAAGTGAAAGTCACAGATATGTAATCCAACTACACTTACGTATTTAAAAATATAAAGAAGAAATTAGTGATTTATAATGAAATGAGTATTTATTTCATAAATGGTCTGACCTGACTGGTTATTGTGCCAGGTGTTATCTCTCATATATCCAAAACTATTCTTAGGGTGAGATCAGAGTTCCCTTCAGTATCATAGTTTTAGAGGCTCATGGCACAGATTTACTATTATAGCAAACTTCTTTGATCAGAGATGAATCTTTAGTAGCATTAGGAAATACCAACTATGATTAGGATAACTTCAGAGCTTATGGGCATATTGACAAAATGAGAACATTTTCCTTCTGGTGTCCAGGGGAAAGTTTACTTACTCAGTAAATATTTACTGAGCATCTACTATGGGGCATGCACTGTTCTAGTTGATAATAAAACTGAGTAAAACGAAGCTGCTAACTTCTTGGGGCTGGAGAGTTGGCTCAGTGGTTAAGAGCACTGGGTAGCTACTCTTTCAGAGGACCCGGGATCAATTCCCAGTGCCCACATGGCAGCTAACAGTTATCTGTAACTCCAGTTCCAGGGGATCCAGCGACCTCTTCTGTCCTCCACAGGCAGTGCATGACACAGGTGTACTTACACACATGCAGGCAGTAGACTCATACACATACATAAAAATGAATTAGAAAATATGTAGGTTAATGGCAAATGCCACAAAAGAAAGTAAGATAGGTAATGAGCTAGAGAGCAGTGGGGTGTGTACGTGCATGCTCCCTGTATTAGGTAAGGAATGGGAAAGAAGTCTGAGCAGAGTTCCCATGCTAAGGTCTGGGGGTGAGGGTCCTAGGAGGAGGAAAGAGGGCACACAGATGGCATAAGAGAAGAAAGATAGCAGACATCATGTGGTACACAGCGTGTGCCCATACTGTGCTAGGTGCTTAACTTACATGGCCCTCACTCATTCCTCTCAGGAATCTTATGGAATGGGCAGTGACACCCAACTTGGCAGGTGAGGAAACTGGACAGAAATTAGCATCCAGGACTCATTTCTAGAGCTACTGGGCTCCACAGCCATGGAATCAGAGGAAGATTCCGTGAGTTCTCTTAGAGTATATCACAATGCCAAGAGCATGATTCAGTCCATTTAGAGAGAGCTAGGGGACTGAGTAGTTGAAATGGTAGTTGCTTGTAGTTCTTCATGTATTAATAGTCATCTAAACATGTTACTGGATAAACATAGGCTTTGGAATATTGTGAATGGAAAACATTCCAAATTATGTGAAAATTAAGTAGTATTCACTTGTGCCTTTTGTTTATACTACTTAGCAAAGCTTTTGTTTTATTTTGTGGCCCATTTCCTTAGCTAATGCTACCACTATCTAATCAGGAATATAAACTGATTTTCATTGTTTAATATTGAAGAGTTTATAATCTTGGATTTATGGTGACTTTAATACAAGTAAGCAGTTGTAAATTGAGTGCTTTGTTAGGTATCGTTTTTGGTAATGCATTTGTAGTCAGTGCTTATTACATAATTAACAAGCCTGTGGAAGACTGTGTGTCATACCTCTACTCTCAGTGGCATCTGTTCAAAAGCTGTTGTGTTTGCAGATGTGTTTATGCTTGCCTAATACAGCATGCTATAAAGGCAGGATCCAGAGTCCTGGAAATAATGATTGTGGCTGACATTTGAGTGCTGCTGCCTGTAAGCACCTTTCATTTGAATGCCATTGTATCTGAAATAATGGAATATTTTGTTAGTTTAGATGGCCTAGTCATTTTAGACCCAGAGAACAGCCCTAGAATAACTGAAGAAGCAACGTGATGTGTTAAAAATTGTGGAAATTTTTGATCTGGTTTTAAAGGATTAAGCAGAGACAGTCCCCAGAATGTATGAATGCCAGTATCACTTTCAGTACCACATAGATTTACAGACATAGTATGTATGATACATAGAACAATTAAAGTAAAATAAAAAATTTGTAAACTGAAATACTTTCAGTATTATTAGCTAGCAGTTAAGAACAGAGACATGTGCAGTGGTTAAGGCATTGGTTTTTCTCTTTCCTGCTTGAGCTCAGATTCCAGTTCCTTCATTTATTGACTATTGAGTCTGGCAAGTTACTAACCTCGCTCTGCTTCTGTTTGTTCATCTGTAAATTAGACCTTTTATCAGTTCCTATCCCGTGGGCTTTCGAGAAAATTGGAATAAGCCTTTGGAAGGTCCTTGCATCACAGCAGCCGTCCTTCATCATTGCAGGTTGTTTTTGTTGTCATTAAATTGAAAGACACTTGAAAGTGATACTAATTAAGGAAGAAATATCTTTTCTGAACAAAAATTACTTGAAGTTAAAGGAATTATAAATAAAACAGCTTTCTATAAGATAATGTCTTATCAAACTACTTTAGTTAAAATGTCTCAGTTATTTCAGAATACCTTCAAAATTAAGTTGGTTAAATATCTCAACAATGAAATCAATTTGAGAAATAGAGCTTTGTTGCCTTGTAATAAGTTGTGGCATCATTCAGTGTCTTACTAGAAAATTAATTGTAGTAAATAATTATATTAAAATAAATGTACTCTCGGTCTATGAAACCCTTTTTAAAGATTTTTTAAAGAATTTTTAATGTATATATATGCATATATGCATGTGGGTGTATGTGAAGACCAGAAGAGAACATCAGATCCCCTGGAGCTGGAGTTACAGGTAGTTGTGAACCACCTGTCATGGAAGCTGGAATTTGAACTCTGGTCCTCTGGAGGGGCAGCAAGCACTCTTAACCATTGAGCCATCTTTGCAGCCCTAGTCTGTGAAACTCTTTAAAAGTTTTATAACCAGGGATGGCTCAGTAAAGGGTTTAACCATGCGAGCTGAGGATCTGAGTTCATCTCTAACACCCACATAAAAAGCCAAGCACAGGGGCATGCCCTTGGGGAGGCTGAAACCGGAGGATATTTGGAGCTTTCTGGCCAGCCAGTCTAGCTGAATCAGTGAGTTCTAGGTTTAGTAAGAGACCCTGTCAAATTAATTAATTAATTAAATTAATTAATTAAATACCTTCAGCAGTTGAAGTTGTTCCAGGTAAGATTATAAGTGTGTAGAAGTAAACTTTTCACTAAAAACCAGAACGTTTTAAAAAATAAAACACAGCACTTAAATTTTTTTCTATCAGATGATTTATAAAAATTAGTATTATCCATGAATTCAATTTCTGAAGCAATTAAGTGTTCATATTAGCCAAATACGTATATACTAAATACTCCTTATTTTTATAAAGGTTCAGAGGACCAGAGAAGCGCTGTCCTGTGGATAGCCATGGCAGGGACTCATCAGATATGGGCACTCCTTCTGGACTCTGGCACACTGCCAAAGAAAAGGTAAGTGACTGTGTCTTTGAGTGGACTGTCCTCCTTGGAGCTTCCACAGGTCTCCCCTAAGTCACCATCCTCACAGTACCTGTCAGGATGGGCTAGATTACACCACCGTAACTGGATTCCCAAAAGCTCGGAGCAAGGCTTCTTTGCTGCTCACTCTTGTCGATTTGCTGGGGAGTACTCTGCTCCCCGGGCTGAGGAAGCAACTGCTTTTGGGAACTTTGCCAGCCCTTCTGGCAGAGCAAGAGAGGAGGCGGTAGTAGTCACCAACTGGCTCCTAGAGCTGTGGCTCAGAAGCGACACACATCCACTTGGACTCACATTTCATCAGCCACAGTTATGCCTTGTAGCTGCATCTAACTTCTAAGAGCCTGGGAGGAGCCATCGGGAGCACCCAAAGAGAACTGGAAATATCAGGGGGACTTTATCCTTTAAGGCTTAGTACAGGTATCTGCAGTCCCTCCTTCAGGTGGCCAAGTGCTGTGTGGCAGCGTGGCTGCCACTTGAGTGTACTTAGCCTGAAACTGAGTCCCAACTGCCACTCGCTACCTCGAGCATAGAAAAAAAGCCTTTCAACTTTCTGTCATGGTTTGTATTTCTGGCATTTTGTGGATTGCTGCCTAGAGTTCAGCACAGCGCAGAGTAAACATAGGTGTCTGCTGCCACCTTTGAGCATATGAGGACAAGAGGGTTGTGTCTTTCTCCTGTGTCTCCTGACTTCTCCCTCAGTCCTGGGTGGAGCTGACCATACTCTTCTCTATGGCTTTACTACCCCTGTGACCAAGTCATTGTACCACTCATTTCCTCCAACCTCCCCTCTCCTCTGCTCTCTTTTCTCTCCCTTTCTTTGATCCAACACTTATTTTTAACTATTTCTTCCTACAGACTCATTCCATTCATTTTGATGCCCTCTGTATCTAGTACTATATCTGGTACATAATAGCTCAGTAAAGGCTTATCAGATAAATGAGTGAAAATCATAGACCATAAAATTGTTAAATAACCATAGAAAGTAAATGCTAATCATCACTGTTACCTGTGTCAGTAGAAAGGAGCAGTTGTATAGAAAATCTGATATTTCAGATGTCCCAGAGAGAGGTGTGGGGCATTTGGAAAACATTTGTATATAATGTTTTATTTTATTTTTTTTTGAAAGTTAAATGTTTTTTATTTATTTTTTTCACACCCACTTCCCAGATAGCACCCTCCCATAGCCTCCCTCCCCCTACTAGAGCCCTTATACTCTGATATCCCTCTACTGTCTGTATAATGTTTTATTTTTTAAAAAATATTTTATTATTTTTATGTGTATAGGTGTGTTTGCATGTAGGTAGGTGCACCCATGTCATGCAATGCTCACGAAGGTCAGAAGAGGGCACTGGATCCCCTGGAACTGAAGTTAAATACAGTTGTTAACTGCCATGTGGGTGCTAGGAATCGAACCTGGATCCTCTGCAAGAACAGCCAGTGCTCTGTACTGCTGAGCCATCTCTTCAGCCCCTTGTATAATGTTTTATAACAATCATTTATCTAAAAAAAAATTGTTAAATATACTTTTACTAGTCACTGTGTTAGACAGTAAGGATGAAATCATAAGCTTTCTGTATAAAAGGTAAAATAAAAACATGCTTGCTTGTCCTTAGAAGAATCAGATCACAGGGCTGGAGAGATGGCTAACTGGAATAACTTGCTGTTATTCCAGACAACCCAGGTTCGAATCCCAGCACCCATATGGCAGCTAACAACCATTCTTAACTCTAATTCCAGGGGACCCGACACCCTTTTTGACCTCTGCTGGCATTGCATGCACATGATGTGCTTGCATACATGTGGGCATACACATAAAATAAAAATAATAAATAAATATATATTTTTAAAAGAATCAGATCAGCAAACAATTTGAAAAGAATGTATAGGAAAAAAATCTCTGCCATGGTTCTTTAAGTTGAACTTTTTGTCAGTAAGATTGGAGGTATCATAGAGGACTTCCTGAAGAGGCATCATCAACTAAGACCTGATATAATAGAGGTCTCCAAGCCAGAGCTGATGCTAGCGATGTCAGTGCATGTCAGGTCATGCAGTGCCTTTAAGACTTTTGGACATTCCTCAAGCCTGTATAGAAAGTTTTAAGTTACAGAGTAACGTGGTTAGGTGTGTTCTTCAAAGAACCCTGGCGGCATTCAGAGTGGGACAAGACTGGGGACGAGATACCGTTCAGGAAACTAGCCATCTAAGCCAGAGACGATAGTGGCCTGAGTAGTGCGCTTACTAGTGGTGGTGTACGTGAGGCATAATTATAACAGCAGCCAGAAGTAACAGAGCTTGCCAGAATATGCTGTTCTGGTGATGGCTATTTTGGACATAGATGGTAAATTTCCTAATAAGAAGAGTTGTCACTCTTGTTTATAATAGGAAAATGGTTGCTCAGATCACACTGACCTGCATCTTAATTTTATGGATAGTTTATTATCTTTATTACTGATCTTCAAGTAGTAGTGACCCCCTAATGTTTTAAATGTTATTGTTTCTCCCACTCTTTTATTAATTAAGGGAACGCTCTCTTATACTGTTTAGACTCCTGATAGTAATTCCCTTTCAATTTATGTGTTTCTTTGGCCAGCTCATTTCTGTAAGTTCTTGAATAAATGGACATCTTTTATTCATTCTTTCTCCCTTTGCTTCTCTCCCTGCTTCCTGCCTAACGTAGCACTGGGAATATATCAGTCAAGAGTGATGGTCATTTTAGGCGTCTGTGTGATGTACCATATTTGGAAATGATACACATACAGTCTCTCACTTTGCGTTCTAAGTTAGCTTCTTCCTTTCTCACAGTACAACACATTACCATGTCTTCTCTATAATCCTATTGGCATAAATTTAGAAACCAAGGTGTAAAACTTCCTCTGCATTACAGAAGGCATCATTGGCGTAGTCCTTTTAGGCATTTTGAAACATGATCTCTCTTTGCCCCTGAGGCAGCCCTGAACTTATTTACAGTTGTGCACCATGATGCCCTGCTTCTCAATAGTTCTTTAAATAGACATTTCCCTAGTGTATATAAGAAATTGATTTTGCACAGTTGATTATTTAACACAGCAAAATTATACCATGTCATTTTCTTTCAAAAACATTTATTTTTTATTTTATGTGTGTGAGTGTATTGCCTGCATGTATATAAGTGCACCTGTGCTGTGCATTGCCTGCTGAGGTCAGAAGAGGGCATCGAATCCCCTAGAATTGGAGTTACAGGTGGTTGTTAGCTACCATGTGGGTGCTGGGAACTGAACTTGGGTCCTCTGCAAGATCAGCCAGTGCTCTTAACTGCTGAACCATCTCTGCAGCCCCCCATGTCATTTCCTTAAAATGATAATGCTTCTCCTGACTGCCTTGCAAACACTATTCTTTAAGAACACACAGACATTTTGTAAGAAAATTTTAACTTCAGACTATCAAGAACTAGGTAATCTTTTTAGTGATAGTTCCCTTCTAGAACCTAATGTTGTATGAAGCTAAGAAGTTAAAATGAGGATAAAGCCATCTTATTATTATTGCTCTAGTTTCAGTCTTGCCAGGAATTTCTTGCCTGGTATTTGAGAGTGGTTGTTGTGAGTCTACTGAAGAAAAGTGGGAAGGCCCTGCACAGTGGCTCAACAACAGAATGGCTGGACAGCAACAGTAAAGTGAACAGGTAGTTGAACCTAGACAGTGATCACCAGCTCTTTGGGTTTGTTTAACTATGCTGTCACCATTGATCCGTCACTTACATTCATTTGTTTAATACTTGTGGGTTCCACTTGTGAACTTGTCTTTCAGTGAGTTGAAAAAAGGAACCTGCCTTCGGTTTGCTGGGAGTGGAAGTGAAGAGAATCGGAACAATGCATATCCTCACAAGGCAGGCTTTGCCCAGCCTTCAGGCCTCTCTCTAGCCTCTGAAGATCCCTGGAACTGCCTCTTTGTAGCAGACAGTGAGAGCAGTACAGTGAGAAGTGTCTCACTGAGAGATGGAGCAGTGAAGCACCTTGTAGGAGGAGAACGCGATCCCATGGTAAAGAAAATGGCTTGTGTGCAGCTTCCTGGACTAGGCGAAGTTAATGAAATTTAGGAAGGGTCATTCTTGACCCGTCTGAGTTAAAATGAAATCAAACTGAAGGAAGTGTGACTAAAGGAATACAAGTAAAGCCATCTAAGAAAAGTAAAGGAACCTGCCTGACTGTGTAGAAATGCTTAGACTACAGGGAGAGAGAAAGGAGAAAATACCTGTTATTGGATAGAAGAGAAGTGTGCATTGAGTATTTGGCAGTGGACTGGGGAGAGCAGCAGACTGGCAGACCTGAACTATTCCTGACCTTGTGGGGCTACTGTGAATACAACAGAGCACTGGAAAGTAGCCCATTCTCCAGCCATCCCTTTCTAGCCCACATTAAATGCCCAGTCCTGTTATCATGAACAGCAGAGCTTTAACTTTAGTAACATGACAACCTTAGTTTTCACTTTATATCACTGAAAAGGTTTTAATAACTATGTTTTCTCTCTCTTAAAAAAAATAAAAGAATTTATTTGCTTTTGGTGATGTTGATGGAGTGGGCATCAGTGCAAAGCTTCAGCACCCACTTGGGGTTGCATGGGACAAGAAGAGCAGTTTACTGTACGTAGCAGACTCCTACAATCACAAGGTGAGTCTGGGCAGAAGCTATGGTGCCTTCCTTGCTTTTCATTTGTGGTATGTAAGATGCTGAAAGATCTGTGTACCTCCTACTAGGACCAGTCTAGAATGCAGAGAGCACGACCAGCCCCACAACCGTGTGCCTGGTTGTCCTGGCCTCTTTGCCAAGGGTTATGATGGTATCTGCACAAAGGAAAATGCTAAGCTAATTCTGGTGGCTATGATCAAAACTTTGGAATTGTGACCCGTCAAAGTTGCTTAGTAATATGTCAGGAAATAAGGAGAAGACAAGTTTGGGGGAAAATATGTGAACCAGCTGTTGTAGTTTCATTGTTGCTGTGGTAAAACACTGACCAAAAGGAACTTCGAAGAGGAAAGGGTTTATTTGGCCTACACTTCCAGGTCAAGTCCATCAATGAGGGAAGTCAGGGCAGGAACTTGAAGGCAGGCCTGCTTGCTACTCCACCAGCACTACCTCTAGCCAGGGGTCTCACAGCCAGAAACGTACAGAATGCTGTACCAAGAATGCTGCTTGCTGGCTGCTCATGGACCCATGCTTAGCTAGGTTCGTACACAGCCCAGGGCCCCCTGTCCAGTGAGTGGTACCGCCCACAGTACATGCCTACAACAGGCCGGTTTGATTTGGGAAATCCCTTAATTGAAGGCGGCTCTAGGCTGTGTCAAGTTGACAGTAACACTAGCTAGGACACCAGCAGATGACGTTTTTAGTCATTAGGTAGTTACAGAGCCCACTGACAAATAATTCCATCCTTGGCATTCCATTTCCGTCTGTTCAGTTTTTATCCTTGCTGAATGTTTCTGGCAGTGCGAGGAGCAACCATAGACTTAATATGCTTGAGATATAACGGACAGTTAAGTTGAAGGTACCAATCCTCAGGGAATGCTAAATGCTCGTGAGAAAAAAGCAAATTTAATTATGGAAGTATGTTCCACTGTAAAGAAAAACATTTGTTTTTTAATTCCAGGGGGAAAAAAATTCCAAAATGAACAAGGAAACCTAATATAACTAAGATTTTACAAAGGTTTTGCTCTTAGGATGGAATAGCATCCCTTCAGCTATGTAATTTTGAATGTTTGGTTTTTTTAGGAAAATATGGAAATAGCTACCATTTTCCTGATCTTTATTGGAATAACTAATGGCAGTTAGGAATTCTCCGGCTTTCTTGATGTCACACCTTCCCTACTGCATGAGGTTGATCTTCAAAGGAAATTTTTGTTTCCTTCTTTAGATTAAAGTTGTGGATCCCAAAACAAAAAGCTGTACAACATTAGCAGGGACCGGGGACACGGATAACACTGTCAGTTCCAGTTTTCCGGAGTCGCCTTTTAATGAGCCAGGAGGCTTGTGTATCGGGGAGAATGGCAGGTTGTTATATGTGGCAGACACTAATAATCATCAAATCAAAGTGATGGATTTAGAAACAAGAACGGTTTCTGTGGTGAGTTGTCCTAAAGCATAGCTTAAAGGATGTGTTTTTAAGAATGATGCTGAGCCCTGAAGCACTGACAAGCATTTTTGGTTTGGCCATCTCAGTGTGCAGTTGGCACACAGATAGAGAGTAGGCAGTGGAGGCCCATTGTGCTCTGGCAGACCAGAAGGCTTGCTTTGAGGATCTCCTGTTATTCTTAAAATATAAGTCCCATCTGTTCTGAGAGTTTGAGGAAAACAGTGAAAGTTGGAGAGAATTTGATGAACCTTTAATTAAAACAGAGGCCTCAGATCTGTTTTCGTACGCATTGATGGACTGACACATGCTATATTTTGTGCCATGTGTGCTGGATTGTCTTAGTCTGTGATCCTTGGATTACTGCATAATCTCTGTTTCCTACTGTGAATCCATTACCAAATCGTCTTCAAAGGAACCTTTAGAAGTCACATTGCCCAAGACATTGAAAATGAGGTCGATTGGGAGAAACTTAAACCAGTTAAAATAAATTTTCAAAGAGATTTCTGTTACCAGCTTCCACTGGATGTGTTCTATTTACCTGAAAAAAAAGAGGCTGAATTTTTTTTACTAAAAATTTAGTGTTTTACAAGATGAATGTTTTAAAATTAAAAAAAAAAAACAGTATTACCAAAAGTGTCATTTCTTTTTATGTAGATTTCTCTTGGCCATGAACATTATGAAAGATAGAAAATTCTATTTCCTGTACTTAAATTCATAAAATGTTTTAATTTCCTGCCATTTATAAACATTAGACAATTCTGTCTCCTTCATAGGTGATCTTACTGCTAAGGTAAATTATTTTTTCTGTCCCCACAAAACAGACTGGAGGGCACATTGAGAGATACATTCTCTTCAGACTAGCAATTTCATTGATAGCTTCATTTTTCTGCTGAAGCTTAAAATAAGCACTCTCATCTCAGTTATTAAAAGTACTTATGCTTTAATAATACGTTTTCTGATTTCCCAGCTCCCTGTCTTTAAATCAGACAGTGCTGTGGTGGATGGCCCCTTCCCTGCAGAGAAACAGAAGACAGTACCCAAAGTGCCGAGGTCTGCCCCGAACATTCAACTATCCCCAGTGATGGTGTGCCCTGGGCAGACTCTGCAGTTCAAACTGAGGTTAGACCTTCCATCAGGAACAAAGCTGACCGAAGGAGTACCCAGCTGCTGGGCCCTCACAGCTGAAGGTATGAGTGTAGTGTTACAGGTGCAGACAGTAAATTCCTGATGTCTAATCTGACAATGTTGCTAATTTGAGATATACTTTTACTGCATAATTGGGCGAAATTTGAGGGAATATGTGGGGAAAAAAGTGACTCCAGACGAGACCCCATTCTGATGAACCCCATTCTGATGATTTTCTTTTAGCTTTTAATATTCTTTTCTCCCTTTTATTAAGAACTGTGTGACTCATGAAAGTTATCAGCTATTAGCAATGTGTTTTCTTAGAATATAGACTTGCCTGCATCTCTTCTTTATTTCTAACCTTCACTTTTGTTCCCAAAAAGAACCTCTTAAAGTCTCTCCAAGTGTGGTAGGAGGATCATGAGTTTGAGGTCAGCCTGGGCTACATAGTGAATTCCAGAGCATATGAGTTAGAGTGAGACTCTATCAGAAGACTCTCAAAAATTAAATAAATAAAAATTAAAAGTCTGAAGAGGAAATGAAGTGGAGCTTCCTTGTTTAAGATCTTTGTGTGTCTCTTCTAAGCACCGTACGCAGGCCTCCATTCTTAAACATGTGTGGTCACAGGGCAAACTAGCTCCTCCTTTAACTGATGGAGAATCAGAGTATGGCTTGCCTTTCCTTGTGTGTTCAGATGTTCAGGACCCTGACAACATGGTGGACAGCAGCTCTGAAGGGCAGTGCTGCTAGAGCAGGACTTCTTATCTCAGATGCTCTTTCTCTGACCCAGCCTCCCATAGTCCTTCACTTGATCTTCCATTTCCTCCCCAACTCCTCTCTCATACACTCTCACATCCTTCTGGTTTTTTCCATTACCTGAATCCTGGCTTCATGCCTTCTTACCTCATGCATTCTCAGGACAGAAGCTGTGTGCCTGCAGCAGTCAACGTGGTGTCCAAACCAAGAAGACCAGCCAGGAGACTGCTAGTAGAATTTGGGAGGCTGACCCTGAAGTGATTCACTGAACCTGTGGAAACCCACCTCCTCTAATCCCCATAAGGGAGAAGGCTGGCCAAGAAGTATTTGGCTGTTTAGAGCTAGCTTTATAGACAGAGTTTGCAAACCTTGGCCACTCCACAACCCTATCTGGGTTCAAAGAAGTCCTAGACACAGTTCATCTGTTCTGTCTATATCTATGCATCTGAAAGTAGTACATCAATTGGGGATCACTTAATTAATTTCTCTCTGGGTAATTAGAAACCAGTATATTGTTTTTTAGATAGGAGATTGACACACGAACCTTTTAAACCCTGCTTTGTTAAGCATACAAGTACTGAATATTGCGTCATTGTGATATAAAATGAAGATGGTATTAAAGTGAAGTAGTCAAATACTTATTTGTCCAAATAAGACAAATTATTTGTCTAAAATATTGGCTCTATTTTTACAGTATAGGGGCAAATAAGCTTTCAGGCAAGAATTTTAATCTAGGAGTTTGAAAACTATTACAGAGCACATGTCTACACTTAGCTAAAGGATATTTTCTCTTTGAGTCTGGTTATTTAGAGATAAAGTGGTTAGAATAAATGAAAGTTTTAAGCTCCCTCCCAAAAAAAGCAGCATAAAAGGACCACGAGTGGGGGCTGGAGAAATGGCTCTGTGGTTAAGAGCACTGGCTGCTCTTCCAGAGGACCTGGGTTTAATTCCCGACACCCACATAGCAGCTAACAACTATCCATAAGTACAGTGCCAGGGGATCCAGCACCTTCTTCTAGCCTCTGTGGGCATTGCAGAACACGGGAACACTTACATACATACAGGCAAAATACTCATACACATTTTAAAAAGTAAAAATAATAAATGAAATACTTTTTAAGAAAGAATCACTAGCATTTCATTACTTCATATATCATAAGTGCGATTAATATGTTAAAACTAAAGAAATATTGTATATTTTATTTCTAAATTTATTAAAATAGCAGTCTGCCATTTCCTCTCAAGAAGTCACTACAGATTTGTACATACACAAATGTGTTCTCTGAAGTTCATTTGTAGTGTGCATATTGTAGCCCTAAGGATTTTTTTTTCCTGGGGTTGGAGAGATGGCTCAGTGGTTAAGAGCACTGACTGCTCTTGCAGAGGACACGAGTTTAATTCCCAGTACCCACATGGTGGGTAACAACTGTCTGTAACTCCAGTTCTGGGGATCCAGTGCCCTCTTCTGGCCTCCAAGGGCATTGCACGACACAGGTGCACTCACATGTTTGTAGGCAATACAGTCATACATATAAAAATAATAAATAAAAATATTTTTTTAAAAAAAGATTTTTTCCCTGTATGGTAACAACAGTCTGTTATCTCAGAGATTCTGTGCTTCATCCGACATAATGGACTTTACTTTTAACTGGGCATTAGGATCTAAAGAGCCATAATTCCAACATTCAACTTAATTTCAGTAGAAATAAGTTTATGATTTGCTTTATAGTGTTAAAATGAGAAGAATTTTGATAATTAGATACAGAGGTCATTAGCTTGGGAACATCCCTCTGGCAGGTCATTGCGTCTCACATTTATGTCATTTCTACAGCGCAAAATGCCTGACACTTAAAGGCTTGTAGTAAGTGCTTGATTATAATGGATCTTCTTTTCCTAAGCATTTCCTGGTTTCCTACTTGTTTTTTGTTTGGTTGGTTTTGGTTTTTTTTTTTTTTTTTTCTTTGTATGTGTGTGTGTGTGTGTGTATGGATATATACACACATGTATGTGGAGGCCAGAGGTTAGTCAGGTGTCTTCTCTGATTGCTCTCCACCTATACTGAGGAGGGGTCTCTCACTATACCTGATGTTCATTCATCTAGTCCTGTGAGCCAGCTTGCTCAGGGGACTACCTGTCCCCTACCCACTCGGCATGTATGTGGGTTCTGGGGATCTGAACTCTCGTCCTTACTCTTCTGTGGCGAGCGCCTTACCCACAGCCCTCACCCCAGCCCTTTACTTACATTTTTATGCACTCTGAATAATATACGCTCCTGTTTTCCAGGCAATGAGTGGCTTCTTGAAGGACAGATCCCATCTGGAGACATAGAGAACCTTTCCAATCAACCAACAATTTCACTACAGATTCCTGCCCATTGCCTGTCACTGGAAGCTGTGATCTCTATCAGCGTGTTTCTTTATTACTGTAGTGCAGACAGCAGTGCTTGCATGATGAAGGGGATTTTGTTCAGTCAGCCTTTACAGATAACTGATACCCAGTCAGGCTGTGCAACTCCTGTGGAGCTCACCTATGTGTTTTAGCAGGCCAGCTCACAGCCCTCACCACTTCCCCGTCTTCCATCCCTGCTGTCTGGCATTCAGGAAGAATGCACTTTTTCTGACTCTGGATCCTAAGACACCATTGCTCAGTTTGGTAGTAAAATAAAATTATGCACCTTACTAACTTTTTAATTATAAACAAATTCCTTCATTTTAGTAGTGTACTAGCCCAGTCATTGACCATCATTTAAATAATAGTACTGTAATCTTTGCTGCTATTTGGTACAAGGTTGCAGCCCACACTATATCACAGAATATTGTTATAATTTGCGGTCAGTACTAATAATACAAGGTATTTTCACTAACTTTTTCTACCTTTATTAGTAGCAGTCATCCCATTTCATGTGAAATTTCACAGTAACTTTAGATAGGCCCAAGCTTTAGTGTATGTGTTTGTATAAAGACACCTGCCATTTGATGTATACAGACTGTTAAGCCAAAACAAAAAGTTATTTTCATTACAGTAGAGCCTTAAAGAATGCAAAAGTGGTTACATGGTATCTCTTCTGTGACTTTTCTCATTTGAGATACTTTCAGAAGAGACTTTTGATCTATTTTTTATTATAAATGATTTGTTTTACCATACCGTTAGCAATGCCTTATAATTTTATGCAGGGAGAAGCTGACATAGCATCTCCATGAGCACACAGGCCTATCTTAGAACTGTTCTTAATGACATGTTCCTACCAAGTAATGCCTCCATCCCCAGAGACAAAATGACTTTCAGAAGGGACACAGGATACATTATTGTCTGTGGCGATTTATTGTGGTGGCTGGATTTGATATAAGTGGATGTGTATGTCATTTGAGAAATTTATATTTCACGTATAAAAGATTAAATGCAGGTTTGTTGGGTTTAGAATTTTTTGTTGTTATTTTGGCTCCCATATTTAGAGCTTAAATTATGATCATTAATTGTGATGTGAAATGTCATTTAAACCTTCAAATTGCTATTTTCAGTTTAAAATACATGCAATTGACAGGTGTATTTATCCTAATATACCATCTTTTAAATTATTAGGACTGAAACACAATAATTTGCACACTGTTTTTGGAATATGTTTTAACTCCAAAAGACAGCCATTGAAGATATTGGAAGTCTATTATTATACTATTGTTGTTGTCATTATAGATTGTCTTTATAACTGTTTAAAAGCTGATTTTTGTTTTCTTAAAACTGATTCAGCATGTTTATGATTTAATCAGATGACAGATTTCAGAAACATCAAGGGAACCCTAACCCTATTTATTCAGTAGTTATCTATAGACAATCTGCCATAATGTACGTCCCCTCCTTTGACGAAAGTGCTAAATTTGAAGTATAATTGTTGAAGCATTAGTCCACCCATTTATTTATTTTGTGAAGTAGTTTTGATATGTCATGTTTGCTTCCATAATTTATGGAGTTAGCTAAAATCTCTTTACTGAGAATGTATAGTTCATGACTTTGGTTTAGTTCATAACCTGCAGAAGCTGTTTTTAAAGAGAAATACAAATGTATAATGCAAAGGAATCTTGTTTAAAATGATACATAATTACCTCAAACCCTTTCTTTCCAGAACCAACCAAAAACTAATGTTGTGTAATAAAACCGTGTGCACTGCTGGTGTTCCTTTATGGGACTCAACTTTAGTTACTGTGTAACCTCATCCTGATCTGTTGTATTTCTCATTCCAGTTGGTCAGGATGAGAAAGCTTTGGCTCAATTATTTTCTCTTTAAGCACATAAACAGTCTCACTCTCCAGGACAAAGTGTATGCAGTTTAACCAATGTGGGAATGACTGATAATTTATTTTCACTATAGTAAAAAACAAATATGAATTATGTATTTCCATGTACATTAAAGATGCAAAAATGTTGTTTAGAATCCATTAATTTTCCCTTTGTCTAGGTGGAATTTTAGGTTAGTTTTAAGCTAATAATGCTTCTGGGTTTTCAATGGACAGTTTCTCTGAGCGTGTTCATTCTCACGCACTCTCCATCCACCTGTTGTTCACATTAAAATATTATTTGTAATGGATTAACCTGAATTTGGAAAAAAAAATCACGCTGATGCAATATAACAGGTTCCTAGAATTTATGATTGCTATAACCCTCTTTCATAAGAGGAAGCACTAAAGGTTATTTTAAAGACTTGATCCATGTCTGCCTTCCCTTTTCAATAAGACCTTTTTTTTACTTTTGCTTTTCTTGTGGCATAAATTGTGGCCAATGATAGTTTTAAAAGAGGAAAATTTTAGTGTAAATCACCTTAATTAAAATGCCAGTGAGGGGGCATCACATACATTGCATACAATACCTGATATTTTGTCACTTTTTTCCTCCTGCTTGTGATGTCATTTCACGACCAGATCATTTTTAAAGTTTATACTCAGAATTGATACAATTCCTGAGAAGTTTTATTTGTCTTGAGTATTCTGTCTCAAGCAAATATTTAGCCTGTTCACAAGGGAAAACACTGCATTTTAATTACTCATTAGTGCAGCTTTGGCAAAGTTCAGTGACTATGAAAAACAGTTTTCTCCTTAACTGAAATATATAGGATAGGATTATAAGGCCTTCCAAAAGCTATAAATCCTAATGCAGCCAAAAAGTTTAATATGCATAGATGATTGTGTCCACATGGCTATGTGCTCAGATATAAAGATCAATTCAAGTGCTTGTTTATATTTATTTCATGACCAGTCTACTTTTGAACTCATTCCATTGAGATGTTATTCTTTGCCTACTTTTGCAAAGTTGGAAATTTAGGGAGCATAATGAAAATATTGATCTATAATATTTTTCCATATATGCAGAATTTACTGTTTTTGTCTGTCAATTTGAAAGACTTTAGCTATTGTCTTTGGCATTCTGTTTAAGAACAATTACCAGAGACTGGGGTTGTAATTAAGTTGGAGAGTGTATCTTTAGCATGTGCAAGTGTTCTGGGTTCAATCCTCAGTAAAAAACAAAATAGTAAAAGCTAAAATTTTATAGTTCGCAGTGACAGAAATAGTTGCAGGGGGACTGTCAGTAATGCTTCTGAATGTTGAAACTGGGTATTTCGTTTGAATTCTACTTTTCTATATTTTTTCAGTGATCACTATTTTAGAAAAAAGTCTGATGTTTTCAAAGATCTAAAGTAAACAGAATCATTAGCATTAATAGAATAGCACTTCCTAAATTATTAGCAAAGATCAGGGAATATTTTAGAGTCCTTTTATCTACCAATTTCCTTTAAAGTTTGTGGCTAGATGAGGACAGAAAGAGTCCAGCTCTTCAGGTGTTTTCATCGTGTAGTGCAGTGTAGTGGTAGCAAGTACGGGCTATGTAGTAGCTTAGGTTCCAGTCCCATAAAGCAGCTGCTGTCCTGGCTTGTGGGTTGCTGCAAGCATGCAGTGCAGTGTTCACACAGCGTTTAGCATTTAGTAATTTATGAAAGTGCTACTTATCGACTTAGTTAATAATGATAATGATTTATAGCTACAAGCACACGGCTTGACAGTTTCTTTACAACTGAGTTTCTAAAGCAAAATATTTCTCTGTCATGTGATATGTTAGTATTCCTAACAGAATTGGAGCTCAAGAAGTAAAAGGATGTTGTATGGTATATTACTATTTAAAAACAATATTATTATTGTAAAGAAGCATCCCTACAGCTGTATTAAAATTTTTAAAAAGAACTGGAATTCTAGGCAATAAATTTACTTCAAAGAGGTTCCAGGCATACCCTGACACCATCCCACACTCCCACAGCATGCACCCAACAACTTGTACCAGAATCCTGGTCTCTTAACCAGTGTCTCCCTATGGGGTGCTCCGGGATCCTCAGAGTCTTTCACACTGCCTCAGTGGGGCTTTAGCCTAACTTGTAGATGAGATAGGTAGATGTGTGCCTTGTGCAGACAAGGGAGCTGCTTTGAGATGTTGGTGGCATGTCTGAAGATCTAGGCACACACTGCCTAGAGCAGGGCCTGGTGTGCAGGTGCTCAGCTTGTCATGTGATCAGAATGACCAGTGAGCAGCAGCGCTTTCCTGACCTACAGGATGTAGAGGGGACACAGCCATGAAGGAGGAGAGCCTCCGGGCCACTTCCTCACACCTCCAAGGAGAGGGACAAGAAGAACAGCTGTGTTTATTGAGTTCTTACAGTCCCTGCTATCACCAGGATTGCTTTCTAAGTGCTGGAATGTAGTAACTCACATGCAGCCCTCGCAGTAATCTTTCGAGGGAGGGGCTGCTTTGCCTTTTGTAGGAAGCAGAGGCCTAGTTAGGCAGTCATACCAGCAACCAGGGGCACACACTTAGGAAGTGGCAGAGCCTGGTTAATTTTCTGCTCAACTACCTGCTGTGTTCCTTTCAAACAAATGTACATGCTTCCTGGCTTGATGTAGTAACATCAATCCAGAGAGAATTCCAGGAGTCCTGGTAATGATTGTTTTTGAAATTCAGATAAATTTATATTATTTGACTTTTTATATTCTTACCATACAGGCCTTGGAATGGTCTATATAATTGTTTCCCAAAAGATTTCACGTACCTTTCATTTCAGACATTTTCCACAGTTTTTTCTTGGCAAATGGACATACAGGAATGCCAGTTAGTTCCAGCAGCGCTGTTCAGGTGGGCTGCAGATGGTAATTAAGACCTCATCATAAAGAATAGCTAAGTGTTTTGCACAGGACAAACCCTGAGAAGCTTATTCATATTTTAGGACATTTGTTTTATGAGCCAAAGTGAGCTCTAGAAGTGTAAAGTCTTCAGTTCTCCTGCTTCACAAATACTGGTGCATAAACTACCTCCCAGTGACTCAGATATATGCAGTTCTGTTACAATAAAATTTTTCCAGGGTCAGTCTAGCACTGGATACTGTTAAAATGAGTGAAGCAAAATGCTGCATGCCAGTGATGATTTTTCATGGTCATCCCTGTGCAGAATGTGTTTGTTTTCATGGTCAGGTACCTAGATGGTGAAGTGGCGCAGTGGTACCAAGAGGAATACATACCATGTCATCAAATTCCATTCCTAAAGTCCATAAGGAAACAAACCTGAGCTTAGGAAAGTGATAGTCATAGCGTCTGTTAAGGTAGACCTCCCTGCTCATCACCAAGATTGCTTTCTCCACCTGTGCCACAGCTTGAACAGAGAATTAGCACTAACCACAAATCACTTGTTTTACCCTGGCTTAATGAAAATCTTGCTTTTCTCCTGTTTCTTTGCAATAGGGTAATAGAAAGGATGGTAGTAAAAGTTAGAGCCTTGAGTGATCCGACTATATGCAGTCTGTGGCTGGCAAGCCTGGGCCCTTTCACATACAGACTTGCAGTTTGGACTGGTGCCTCTGGCTCTCTGGTGGCCATACTGACTGCAGAGGCTGATGAGGAGCAGGAGACAGCTTTGCGCGGGCTTTTCCAGTGCAGCCTTCCCTTAGCGGGTGCCTTGGTTTAATCATTGTCAAAGGTTAAAGTTGAAAAGCCAAAACCCTGGATTCTCGTGGACTGTTTGCTAGTTACAGTTACTCGTTGCTCGCTGTGTCCTCTTCTTCCCTGGCGTGTTACTCTCCAGTGTGTCTAAGGGTATTCTCTGCTCTTGAAAGCCTCGGGACCCAAAGGGTAAGCAAGCACTTCTAAATACACTTCTACCTGTATACACCATCAGTCTTAGGTTAGAAAGTACTAAAACATGAAATGAGCACTAAATTGCCTTATACCCAAAAGGTGTAAAAGACAGTCTTGTGACTGTCTGGGTTTGGTATGAATTCATGAGCCTAGTTAAGAAATAGAGTTAAGCAAAATTGATTTTGAAAACTTGAAGCTATAAGTAGTCTGGACAGTTTGTATTTTAATGTGCTTAGTTACAACTTTCCATTCAAAATAAAGTAAAAGGAGAACTCAGTGCCTAGAAAGAAAAAAATTAACCCTCTGAGATATGGCCAGTTAAAAGAGGATTTTTGTTATTTACCTAGTTCCATGAGGAAATATGTTGACATAAGACAAAGTAGTCAAAGTATTCCAGTGAGGGTAAGAATAGAAAAGTGTTAACTTTGCCATTGAAGTGTCTCCTATTTTAAAATTTGTTGTCCTATCCCAGCACCCATATGGCAGCTAACAACTGTCCATAACTCTAGTCCCAGGGGATCCGACAGCCTCTTCTGACCTCTGCGGGCATTGCACGACATGGTTGCACTTACCTACATGTAGGCAATACACACATACACATAAAATAAAAATAATAAATAAAAAATTTTTTAAAGTTTAAAAAAAAAGTGTTCTTATTTTTAGTCCCATCAGAAACAAGCCAGTTTTTGTTTACATAGGGAGTTGAGATGTGTTGTTCATGTGTGCCTATGATGTCCATCATTGGAGTCTACCTGCAGACACAACCCAGTACTTCCTCTCGGCACCTTAGGCTCTCATCTCTGTAGAAGCTTTCAGTGAGGAACTATGGGTCCACAAATGCCCATGAATATGCAAAGATGATTTTGTGATAAACTGTTTTAAGGTTTTAAATCCCTCTGCTAGAGCACATCTAGAGCCAACTTAGATATCCTCATGTCATTACTTCACTGCGGTTGTAGTCAGATCAAACTGTGCTGTGTAATTGAGATTTGCATCTATTTATCACTGTTTGAAGTTATAATATTTCATAGACATGTCAAACTGTAGCAACTCGGGCTGTCTCATACCCTCTGAGTGTGGATCAGGTTTGTAATTCCATTTGGGAGGCTAGCAGTGGTCTGCTGTGCTGATGTCTTACCTGTCATATTCCGAAGTTTGAATTATACATCCATCCTCCCAGTGGTTGACAGTGCAATAGAAATTGAATTTGCTAGTTCATATATTGGTATTTTAGACATGGTTAGTTCTAAGAGTTTACTTGCTGTGCATTTTTTAAGTGTTTAATGTAGATGGATTACTATATTTTTATGCATCCCTGTCTGCATTTATTTCCAGGCCAAACCCTTGAGTGGCTTTTTTATTCAGGTGCATTTGTTAGCTGGGAAGAGAGCACAATGGCCTTCAGCAGCTCAAAAGAAGTGTCCCACATGGGGTCATGGAGAGCAAGAATATGTTTATACTGTACATGGAAGCCTAAAGCTTCTTTTCTAAAGCTTTGTAGTTTTTTCATAAAATGGATTAAATATTTTCTCTCTGAGTCTATGTTTCTGTTTTCAGTATGATCTGGTTTTAAATATATCACTAGGTAATTTTCACTGCTTAGAAACCTGTAAGTTGGGGCTAGAAAAATGGCTCAGTGGATAAAGCTTGGAGTTCAGATCCCCCAGCAGGCTCCAGAGATGGAGATAGGGGACCCTTGAGACAGAAAAAGGAGACCAGAAAGCCATGATTTACTTGCACTTTGAGGGTATAAGGAAGGCAATGCTTAGTTTACAAAAATCATAAGCACTGGGGCTGGAGAGCCAACTCAGCAGTTAAGAGCACTGGTTGCTCTTGCAGAGGACCTGGATTTGAACCCCAGCATTCACATGGCAGCTAAAAACCATCCATAACTACAGTTCCATGGGAACCCAACACCCTCTTATCTCCTCGGGCATTGCATGACACAGAATTACATGCAGGCAATATACACATAAGAAAATAAAATCATTCTGTTATAATTACAAAATTTTAAGCACTGAATTGGGAAAGGGTAATCTATTCAGTAAGTGGTAATGGGAGGGAAAGTTTGATCTCTACCTGATATTGTGCACACAGAATTTGAAAGAGTTAATGACTTTAAATTACCAAAATGGCAGAAGATGAAGAACAATGTTAATGTGGAAGATGGCTTTCCTAAGAATTACTTAGGCCCCAAAGCAGTGATTGGAAGACTAACATATATGACCATATAGAAATTTTAAGCATCTGAGTAACAGAAATGGAAAGTCAAGTAAATGAAAATTCAAAATATTTTCACAACATAAACTAGACATGGAATTAATAGTATATATGAAAGGTTATTATAAACAAATGAGAGGAAAATGTTCCAATTGAAAATCAGCAGGGACGATTGGCATGCAGCCCTAGAAGATTTGCAGTAATGTGAGATGTTTGCACTGCATTGAGATGTGCTGATTCATTCAGATCCTTAGCCCCTGTTTATGCTGCTCTAGGTCCAGAGATAAGCCAAGTAGACAGGGTCCCCACTTTTGAATCAGTTGTGATTGGGAGGAAAGATGAGAAAATGAATACACAGCTGCACGTGAATAATGGGAACTATCAGCCCTACGCACTTGCAGGAAGTGCGGAGGCCAGGCCACATCCCTGGGAAGCTGCGCCAGATGCCTAAGTACTAGCCGGTGTGCAGGAACCAGTGGGCCAACGTCTCCAGCTTTATACTGTCAAAGATGGAATTTTTCATATATGTTCTTATGTGTACAAGTGTTTTGCCTGCACGTATGTAAGTGTACCCATTTGTGCAGTGTCCAAGGAGGCCAGGAGGTGTCAGGTCCCCTGAAACTGAAGCTTGGGACCACCATTGATGGCCACCATGTGGGTGCTAGGAACCAAACCCTGGTCCTCTGCAAGAGCAATCAGTGCTCCTAACTGCCTAGCCATCTTTCCTGCCCCCACAATGGAATTCTTTAACCTTACAACATTGCCTCGTTGTGTTGGTATTGCTATGACCACTAGCAAAATCAAATAGTTATTTTCTTTTTGAGACAGGAGAGTCACTGTGTAACCCAATCCAACCTGGAACTCGAGCAGTTCTGTCGTAGCCTCCCAAGAGCTGGGATTATGGGTGTGTGCCAGCTAAACATTTTTCTTATTTTTTTGACCCAGTAATTTCACTGTAGGAATTGGCTCTACAGAGTACTTCTGTATATACACAAAAGTGTTAGCGTGTTAAAGAAAAAAATTAGCCTAAATGTCAAATAGTAGGGAAGTAAGCCACCTCTGTGCTGTAGAATACCACGCAGCCATTAAAAGGAATTATAGGCCCTGGAGGAATGGCTTATGTTGCTCTTACAGAGGTCCTGGATTTGGTTCCCAGCACACACATCGGGTAGCTAAATGTCCGTAAATCCAGTTCCAGGGATTCTGATGCCTTCTGGCCACCGAGGGCACCAGCACACACGTGGCACACAAGCATACACTCAGGCACACACACAATTTTTTTTTAACACAGAATACTCACCTTTATTACAGGAGCTAAGATGACTCATTTGCCTTTCCCGGCTCTGCTCTTCCTCAGGTAGAACTCCAGCTCCTTGTCCTCTAGCACATAGCCATCCTCTCTACTACGCTGCCCAGGTCTTGATGCAGTGCAGGCAAGAAGTTTGCCCTGATGGAACTGCTCCTCCAGAAGACTGCTGATTTGGGCATTCTTTTTCCTTTCATCATATTTCTTTTGAATTTTAGGGGGGTCACTTTTTATTTAAAATCTCTTCCTCCTCAGGAGTCAGCTTGGCCCCTTTCTTGCGGCCCAGGGACAGTGCATAGTGGGACTTGTACGGCGTGCTGTCAATGAGCACGGTGCAGGTCTTCACCGGGGTCTTGGTTCGGACCAACTCATTATTGGATGCATTGTAGACAACATTAATGAACCTTGTTTTTCGAGTACAACACTCAGAGCCCCAGGAGAAGTTCCCCACATGCAATCTCAGGGCCTGGTACCTCTTAATGCCTCCTGGAACTCTGTGTATGCGCGGGCCAATCTTAGTTTTGGCAGCAAGGTGTCCGAGCTCGTACTTCTTCTTGTAGGGCTTCCTCTTGCACACGGTCTTGCAGCGCTTCTGCCAGTTGTCCCGTGAGATGCCCATGGCTTGACGCTGGCTGGAAAGAGCCACAGTAAATCTTCTTTAAAAGAACTGCCAGGCGTGGTGGCGCAAGCCTTTAGTCCCAGCACTCGGGAGGCAGAGGCAGGCGGATCTCTTTGAGTTCAAGGCCAACCTGGTCTACATAGTGAGTCCTAGGCTAGCTGGGGCTACAGGGAGACCCTGTCTCAACAAAGAATTAAACACACATACTCACCTTCAGAGAATGTGTTCCAGAATAAATGTAAATGTCTTATTTTGAAGCATATATCTGTGTACATTCATAAACAGTCCTGCTTCATAGTTATGCAAAGCCACAAAAATAAACACACAATCAGAGCTAGTAGCCCAAACCTGTATTACCTGAAGGCAGGAGGCCAAGGCATAAAAGTCATAAGTTCAACGCTAGCCTTGGCTAAACTGCAAACAAATGACCAAACAATCTAAAACTACAGACCATCCTCCATAACCAGTGGGGGGAACCTTTAAAAATTCTTGCTGGGTGTGGTGGTGCACATCTTTAATCCCAGTGCTTCAGAGGCAGAGGCAGGAGGATCTCTGTGAGATCCAAGCCAGCTGGGGCTACAGGGAGACCCTATTTCAACAAAAAGCAAAAATTCTTGCGTGTCAGTTATAAATGTACAGAGAAATGAAAGAAAAAATAAAGCTAGTGTTTATTTACTATACAGTAATTTAAGACATTCCAAGTAGTGAGAATTAAAGAGTTGTTTGGTTGTTTTTGTTGTTTGAGATACGGTCTTGTTGTATAGCACTGGCTGGCCTGGTAAGCACTGTAGTCCAGGCTGGCCTCCAAAGCAATCCTGCTTTAGCTTCTGCTCCAGAGTGCTATGATTACAGGAGTACCCCGCCATTCCTGGTGAGAATTCAAGTTTATTATTGTTAAGAATTTTAGGAAGAATATTTGAAGAATGTCCACTGTCTGATGGTACATTTTGTGATGAAGATGGAGTGTCTTTTGTAGACTTTGACAGACTGTCACAGTCCTTCATGCTTTCGGTGTTGGGAGGCACTCTGAACATTCTTCAGTGTGCAATTTTACAGCAGCCTCACTTCCTCTGGGACTTGCTGTAGCAGCTGCTTTCCACAGCTTCACTAAGAATCTTCTAGCTTACCTACATAGGGGCTGTCTCCAGGTGACAGTTAAGCACCTCCAGTCAGCGCATTGTCATTGCTTTTCTTTGCTATGTTTTCTTTTCTTGGCCAGCTCCCTCTTTTGACTGTTTGTTTTTATAAGATGTCATGGGATATTACTAGAAAAGAAGATACATTGCTGTCTGTGACCCAAGTCTCCGATTCAGTGACTGGTCACAAGCAGACTTTGACAGAAATAACATTACTAGTTTCTGATTGTGGGGCACAAGTTACACAACAATGAAGTTCACAACTGCAATTTGGATTGTGTTCTTAGGGACTGCTGTTATTTACACAGTAGGAATGAAATTATGCATGTCAGAATTGTTCAAAGTGAGGATTGCCTACACAGATATTTATGTGGGAAAAAAAATATATATGTAATGGACATATATGAATAGAAAAATCCAGGAAGGTATTAGGGCACAACAAACCAGTGGCTATGTAGAGCTGGATGTAGAGAAGGAGAAGAGAGGAACTCGCATTATTGGCCTTATGTATTTTTGTACAGCTTGAATTTTTACAAATGGATGTATTTTTAGCACAAAGTCAAGTGGGAAGATACTGTTTGTGTTTCCCACAGTCACTTGGCTTACCTCATACACACCTGGAAAAGAAAAAGAAATAAGTTGAAGAGTGACATGAGTGACATCTTGAACAAATGCTTATGGGGGGCATAGCTTGTGGTGGTCATGATGGATATATGCAGAAAATACATCATGAGCCAGCTTGCTGCACGGCATTATGCGGCATCCTCTCTGGGCCAGCATACTGACACTGTTGCTTCAGAACCAAATGGCCCTGAGCCATTCTCTTCATCCCCAACAGCCTCCTTTCTGCACAACTGGATATGTTTGAGATTAATACTGCACAGAATTGTTTTATGACGACGTTAGAGAAGCACTTAGCACAGTGATGGACAATTAAGAATACCTAAAACATTGAGCGATTCCTGCATGGAAAACTGACTACACGGCCAGTGGCTTCATTGTAGTTGGTCCAAGGATTTACTGCATCACGGGGAAAATGAAACCAGGTGACCTCAAGTTCTCAGCCATTCTAGTAGAATGTTTTGGAATATATAAGGACAGCTCTGATAAGTTTAATTCCAAAGTAATAATTTGTTATTTATGCCTTCAGACTTTAAGAGATAGAATTTTTAAATATGTTTTTCTGTATTTATGTGTGTGATATGCATGCTTGTATGTATGCATGTTTGCATATATGTGGGTGTATGTGTGTGTTTGCGTG